ATAAACTTTAGTACTCCACTTTGTACAGGTTGGGTACATTTTGTTTCATTAAATTATCTCCCAAAAGAGGATACAACACAAAATATTTTCAATTTTTTCTATTGTGAACGGCCCTTTTTATACTCTTCCTGTCTCACAATATTTGTATTTTACAAGTTTAAAATAAAATTAATTGGTTAATTGTATTTAATTGTGATTATGCTTAAAAACTATAAACACATAAATTATGACATATAAAGAAAGATTATATCTTAAAATATAATGAAAGAATAAAACAGTCAGACACTCTCATGTCTCCTAATTGATATATACTTTAAGAGACTTATAAAAAGTATCATAATTTTTTTGATGACATAGCAAGTATTTCAAAGCATTTTGTAGATATAAAAATTTTACAAGACTATAAGACGTGTTTAATTTCAAGCCAAACATTTCTTTTTAGGTCATTTTTATTCTTTTAATTGATCAACATGTTTAACTTTTGATAATATAGTATATCTACGAAATAGTAGAATCAATTCAATATATTCATAATATACCTCATCACATTATTATTAGTTTTAATATACATATTTAATTTAATCATATAAATAGAATACGACGAAGAGTAGGAATTTCAGTTGTTGATCAAATATGAAGGGAAAAAAAGAACTAAGATGCAAAGAAAAGATCTCTTTATTTCAAATATTGTGAATTTGAATATGATACTTTTTAAAAAAAATTAAAAAATGAATACTTCTGAAATTGTATAAAAAGAATTTTAAATTAAAATAATTGATAATTCAAAGTATTTTTAAAAATAAGTATAAGACATGCTCATGTAAGCAATTACTCTATAGAATTAGTATAGCTCGTAGATAAGCACATTAATAAAGTTTTGATAGAACAGATGAAGATATTAAGATTAAACTTTTGCTATTTTAAAGTCTTCGATAAAAAAATGATCGATTATTTTCTATAAATAGACTCAATTATAATATAACTGCAGCTAAACTACACAATTTGACAAGACGCTATCAGTTGACTTGGTCAACTGCCATGAAGACTCCATAGTAGTACTTTTTTTTTGTTTGTCCATATTAATTTAACATATTTTTGATCAAAAATAAATAAAATAATAATTTTATTATATTATCTTTTAGATAAATTTAATATTTTGATAAAGCATTAAAAGATAATTACAATTAATGATATAATAAATAAAATTAAATGATCTGTTTTTTTTTTCAAACTAAACAAGTAGAAGTTTCTTTATCGATCATTTTTACTTTTTCCTGTTTAACTTAATTGATCTCTTAAAAAAATAATTTTAACATGTAATTTATTATATAACCCTATTAATTACTTCCTATGTTTAAATTTATTTGTATACTTTCCTTTTTGTTCCAATTGAAAAAGGAACTTTTTTTTACAACTCTTAATTTTCATTTTTTTTAAATAAGTTTAAGATTATAAGATTAAGTGACATTTTGAAGCATTTGATAATTTTTAATTTAAGACCAGTACAAATCCAAAAATACAATTTACTCTGTTTCTGATTTATTTTTTTTGGCTGCTGTTTAAAAATTATTTTTAGCTAAAAAAACTCAACTTTCTATACCAAGTACTTAAATTAAAAGAAATTTTAAAGTAAAAAATATTGATAATTTCTACAAATTATAAAATCACTTTACCTTAATATATTCTACATGTTCTTGAAAAAAAAGAGAGGCTAATTAAGTAATGACTCGTTCAACATATCAGTATGAGAAGACTAACTAAGTGTCACCAATCAAAAAAGGCTGCGGTCTAGCGAATAAAATTATTATTTTTTTAATAAATAATTTTAAATTTAAATTATGAATATAAAATAATTTAAATAATTTAAATTAATCAAACATTAATAGAGATATTGAACCGTCAATGAAAAAATAAGAACTAAAGTGTCCTAAATGTTTAGTCCAGGGAAGACTTCACACGTTTTCTAATATCTTAAAGGATTTTATTCCACAAGTTTGAATAATTTATTTATTTTTCTCTTGAGGAAAAGCTTATATAAGATATTGTTTGTATTAAACAAAAAAAAACACAGTATATTATTCATTTCTTCCTCCATAGCTTTTTGAAACCATGAATTACAAAGCATTCACTTTGATATTGTTTGTATTAATCTTTTGTCAATCATCGATAATGGCTTCTCGAAGAATATTATCAGGTTTTATCTCTTTGCTTTTCTGATAGATATATAAAGTATGAAAATTTTAAAAAATTATTCATTATTTACTGAATAACAATTTTTTGTGTAGATAAAACATAAAAATCACTTGTATTATTAGAAGGAGAATTTTAAAAAACATCTACGTAAATAAAACTCTTTTAAAAAATGATATATTTATCCCTTAATATTAATGTATTTTAATTTTTTTTTCCCTAAATTTTCAGTTGAAGGAAGTAAATAAATTCATTAGTACGATGGCATTTAATTTGGACTAATAAACAGTTTTTCTTTTCCATTTCCTTTTTTTAATTGTAAAGAGCTTTACTTTTAATTTGACATATCAAATTTTAGTTATTTAATATAAAAAAAAAACACCTTTGAAAAGCATATATTCCTTAAATAAGACATGTATGGCAGATTTTTTTTTTATCGAAAATACTTTTGTAATTATAGTTAAGCATAAACTATTACTCTACATCAACAAGTTTTTCAAATTAATTAGTCTAATACAAATTGCTATTATGTATGTATATACCAAACACTATCAATAAAAATACTTTTTAAAATAAATAATTTTTTAAACTTGATCAAACGGATTATAAAAGTATAAATAATTAGGCTATTGAAAATAAACTGGATATCAAATTTGGACAGATTAAAATATTATTTTATATTCATCAATTTGACCAAAAGGGAAGAAAATTCAAAGACAAGTAGGTACCCCCACCCCACCAAACAAAAAAAATAATATTTTTTATACCCAAAAATGCTTGTTCTTTGTTTGAATTGAATTTAAATTCTATGTATTAATACGATTAAATTCTTTATATTCGAAATAAATAAATTATTATGATAGCATAATATATATATATAAACTTTATTTTAATAATAGGTCCGGGAAGTAGTAAAATGCCAGCACTACCTCATCGTCCTCCATCAGCTGGATCAGCAACTCCTCAATCAAAGCCCGGTAAATTTTTGATCAAACTCTTTTTCAATTTACGTGTCACAATTTAAATTTTAAAAATAAAATATTTATTTTGATTTTTAAAACTTCGCACCGCCTAATGCGAACTACTATTAATATGTGTGGCAAATTAGTTATATAGTCTTGTTTTCATTTAATTGCATGATTTTTCATTAAAATGAGTAGATTTTATTCTTAATCATTTAAATAAGTTGAATTTTAATTTTTGTATTTATAACATAATAAAAGTTATTTACGAGTTTGAAACACAACTTATAAACTATTATTATGTTAAAAAATTGCGTTTTTTTTTTACCTAGAGGAATAAAATCATTAAAGACCGGCACAAAATATAGGGAAAAAAAATGCAAATGGCCCTTTTAAATTTTCGATATTTGATTAGAAAATTTAAAAAGAATTTTTTTTAGTGATTTCTTGTACTTTGTGGTCGTGTACGAATCGCATGATGAGATATTATTATAAAGTCTTTTCTTTAAACGCCTAAATGAGAAATTTATAATTTATTTTAGAAATAAAAAAAGTATAATTTTATTTGATTTCGAAAAATAATAATCGATGTTTTTCTTTTTTTTAAATTAAAGTTGCAGGGCGTATACGGGCACGGGTGTGCGAGGAGTATAACAATTGTAGGCGCCCCATTACACCAAGTAAATCCTAAATCGAAATTATAATCGTAGTAAATGGTAGTTAAAATTTAAAATTTATAAATTATGAATGTATTGCTGAAATTTATAACTCGTTCAATTACTTATTAGATTTAAGATAAGCCAGAGTTAATAGAGTTTAAGATTATATGTTTTTAAGATTATTCCGTGAAAGTTTATGTAATAATATTGAATGATATATATTGATATCAAAGGCCATTTAAAGTCTTCTTTCTCCATCTCTTTTTGCTATCTTTTTTTTTTCTTCACTACTTAAAGTTCCCAAATTATGAGGAATAAAGAATGTAAATTTCCTAAATGGTTAAGTACATTCATCGATTGTATGTTAATTAAGTTTTATCTAGATGATATTCTAATTACGATTTGTTTTAATTGAGTCAGTAGATTTTGAATTAGCAAGAAAGTACTTGATAAATATCGTGATCAGGGCATGCACATGCCATCAAACATCTTTTTTCTTTATTTTTATTGTATCAATTCGAACTTGTGACGATCCGTTAAGACTTGTAAGATAAACTAAAAGTTTCTTTTTTGGGAATTTTACACAAATCACATATTGTTAAGAGCTAATTTTATATTATCCGTACTATTATTCAAATTACAACAATCCTTTAAATTTCATTATATTCGTACACATCCCAAAACTTTTTGATACATTCCATCTCGATTTCGAATACATCGCTCAACATATCGATATACCGTGTCTCGATTGCGTATACATTCGATACATCACGTAAAGTGATGAATCCAAAAATAAGAGATAGTAGATATTTTCGCAAGTTTTTCAAATGATTGAAAAATTTTAAGAATACGATAAAATAAGTTGTATATTTAATGGTTAAATTTTAAATAATGTCACAAAATAGACTATGGGAAAATTGTATATAATAGCAAACTAATAACCTAAATTAAATAGAGTAGCTAGAGTTTGATTTAATTGTGCTCCATAGCAAACGTTGGATTTGCCA